ACACGAACTGATATGATCCGTTGATCGAGGAATGCTTTGATCCACTGAAATGCGAAATCTCGAACGCCGTAATTATAGAGCTTCTGCAGTAAAATTTTGTGACGCACCGAAATGAGCGTCCGCACTAAAGTGTAAGTCTTTCGAGCTGCCACACACCCTGTCTTGTGGTGAGGTTGCGAGATGTGCCCGGTTAGAACTCGAGACCTCAAAAGACTCCGGGCACAGGTGTCTGTGCTACATCCTGAAAGCAAAGTGGCCTTCGGTCGATCGATTATCGAACGAGGAGGGCTGCCGGTACTCTTTGTTCGCAGAAATTTCTACACGGTTTCATTACCAGCGTCTGCAGTGTTTCAGTCATGCTCTCCAGTATTCGGCTAGTGAGTTCGTCTGAAAAGGTTTCTTCCCAATACCGCGTTCGGAATTTCGCTGTCGTCTCCATGGTTAGTTGACGACCTAGGCTACCGCAGTCCAAAAAGACATGAAGTACCGCGGTTTGAAAGCTTCCGAAGCTGGAATTATAACTGGCTTTCATTTTCCAGTGGCCTTGCCGTAGAACACCGTGCATGGGCAGCCATCGTCAAACATCAGTGCTCAGTTATCAAGTAAAAGTAAAGCACATTCCGAAACATTAACCACTTTTTTAATGTCATCATAACGATGACTATCTCTTGTTTCGCAGACTGTCCTGGTACATGTTAGAAGCCAGCGATAATTAACAATGATAATATGGATAATATTATCATTGGTAAGAAAAACCTAAAAATGAAAATATTGATTTCAAGGTTATCTGACCAAGTCAATGTGTGCCGCTAGACACATCAAGCGGCAAATTACGTGATGATCAAAGGATAATTGACTCCTGTTCGGTTTAGCTGAAGAAAGTAGTACATATTCTTTTAGGGTCTGACAGAACCTTCTAGAACGAACTAGTTGGTTATGAGTGACTTTCTCTCACATATTAGCCTCGTCATTTTTCGTGCACCGGTCTTGCACCAAAGGATGCCGCCACAGAAAAGAAATGAGCATTCTGACTGGTTGCTTACGCACTTCAGGCCAAACGAAAATTCCGTCATGAGAATCGATGCGAATATAAGAGCTACAAGGAGAACGAAATCATTATGTTCTATGAAGGATTAGACAGCGTTTCAAAATGACGATTCGCAAATAATCCAGTTTCTGTCCAAGTTAATTCCTAACCCAAGTGGAATGATTTTTTCTCATCGTTAGTGTGCACGAGTTCGAATGGAATCAGAAAGAGTTTAATTCGTTTGGATTCTCAGCTTCGAGCAACCCCGGGAATAACCTATCCTTCACTAGTCACGATCACGCATTGATGAAGTGTGACAGATTGCAAAAGAAAACAGCAACACGATAAAAAAAGATTAAATGTTTTATCGGGACTGCCACCGGGCCTTGACCAGAACATTGGTGGCATGCATCCACAGACAGAATTATCAGATGAAATGTTCAACTCTCACAATAGTATAATATAACAGTGTGTGGTTATCCAAATAACGAGTAAACACAAGAAGGTACGAGTCTAGTAGTTTGAGTCTGGCCTCTGCGAGCAACGATCGGTTAGCAATGGCGTTGATGCGGCAACATCATCGGTCACACTTGGTAGCAGACTGCTCTATCAACGATCTGATTGTCGGTTTTCCCAACTTGGCAAGAGAGTGATACCAATCTGTTCCGCCATGGGACATCACGAAGAGTGGGGTAAAAGGAGCCCCAACAAAGAATGTGGTTTTGTCATGCGGGCAGAATTCGATTGTATGAACAGTCTATAGTGGCAATGCGCAGAAACGCTCCCCAGTTTCCAGTTGTATTCTGTTTATACCACTATATCATATATATATGCCACTATAAGATAGTCACAACAATAATGGAATAAATCAAATGACTCCGTTGCCAAGGCTGAGCAGTAAACCATACATTGTACCTTCACAAGGTACGTTGATTAAGACACGCGTTACACGTGCAAACTAGAAGAGTTTTGGAAACATAGGAATAGAAATTAAAGGAGAGGCTGGCAATGACTCTTTTGAAGGGTAACAGAGACCAAACCAACAAATCGTGCCATAAAGACAGGATTACACTGTAGGCTTAGAATTCAAGATAACTGGAACCTATGGGATTGGAGACGCCAGTGGAAGCCCATATGTTCTTAATCGGATTCTCAACTGTTTCAAGTTTCGCCTTAGATATCTTTCTGGGCACCACCCGAAAAGTTTCAAACTGTCTCTAACAGAGACAAACAATTAAAACTGATTCATTTAAGTGCTGCTGCATATCGAGGTGGGTGAAGTAATTTTACTCGGCAACGATAAGAAGAGACCATTAAGATCGGAGACAAAAGTGTTCACTTATATGAAAACACCCATATCCACAATAGGTGTACCACAAGAAAACAGAACGGTTGGAGCGATATGAGCGGTAGAAATAACGAAAAGTCAAACACAAACAAGAGTTAGCGCTGATGATGAACCACCGGATTAGTGAACAACCAATTTAACGAGCATACAGACCGGCGAATAGATGCATCGGAGAGAGCGAGAACACAGTTTCTATTTCTCCACCGGACAACAAGCGAAACTCCCCGCTCTTTGCGTGGTAGAGTCCGGTTATCCTGATGTGGATAAGAATTGATTTTACCACTTGGGAGAGCCCGAGAGAAAGTACAGGAGTGGACGAAAAAAGAAGTCGGGCGCTTCGGAGAACGAAGAGGACTTTGGAGAAAACGCGATCTGGATCGGATGACCGTATTAAGTGGAGGGCAACTCCATGTCGGAAAATGCACGAAGAGGATAGTTTTCTTTGTATCGTTCCACATGCTCCTTGGAAGCCAACATCTGACGACGAAGACGTGGCGGCATTGATGAATAGACGTCCGTGAACAGTAGGAATGGATTTGGCTTCTTTTTAGCTTCGCAACGCGCAAAAACTTCCATCACCTAGATCAAAGGTGATCATGAAGAGGGATAAAGAGATAACATGCAGGAGTTTGAGCAAAGTGCAACGAACCAACTGCCCCATCGTAAACAATACAGCTATCAAAAAGTGCAGTAAACTGAAGACAACTATCCCAAATGTATATTCATAAACCGACTTTTGCTTCTATTCCTATTGTAGCTTGGCGTTTGGGTGCATCTCGTGCAAACTGTGGCGATCATAGTCTACGGGGTAAACGCCAGCCACGGAACGACGCGTTACAGTCTCCGGACAACTGTAGTGAGTCAACCTTCCCAAATGACATCAGCCAAGCGCCCACGTATTTCAGTTTCTGGACAACGAACCAAAGGCCGATCGTGCCGACTAATCAGAAATCATGCAGTTCAGACAGTAGCAGTATGACGTTAAGAGTACAAGCACGCAATTGGTGAATATTCGTATAACCACTAAACTCCCTTTGTTCAATCCCGTTGATTTCTCCCAATAAAAGAGCTGCTATTTCTGTGGCCTTTTCTCTGCGTCTCGGTTACGTGAGATACCACCGTGGAAGTGCTAATGCGATTCTGAGTTTTCGTGGAGTCCCTGATTCGCTATTCGTAATTCGTGGCCTGTGCCTATTTCAACCACTACACAAACGCACATCATATATATACATATATGCAAGTTTCATGATACACAATTAAAAAGACAAATAACGAGACCGAATAGTGCGCACCTGTTTTCGCACGTCTGTTCGCATTTTCTTCTCCTCTTCTTCAGTGATCCATTCTTTGCGAAGCAAATAGTGCCGCAAACGCAGGATCGGATTGTCTGTCTTATCCCAATAGGCGACTTCATCCACTGACCGATAGGCTGAGCTGTCATCACTGGTACTATGATGTCCCACTCTGGACAGGGGAAGAACAAGAGTAGAAACAAACAAGTGGTCACTATCGTTTACGTTTGAAATGAAGTGTTCAGTTTCAGTTTCTACAACCATTGACCATGCACTATCGTGAGCCGGTTTCGGTTGCCGTCTTTTGGCTGCCCATTTGGATGAACATCAGGAGAAAGACAGGAAAGGTTGAAAGTAGGATCGAAGAGAAAATTTAGGATTTCATTTCACTAATTTTGCACAGACATCGACAAGATGCATGAACGTCACTGTTTACGACACCCAGCCATATCGCTCAGTGTAGCTAACCATCGGTGACCATCATCCCGAGGTCCCCAGCCACGGAGCCTAACGGAAACTATGTGACCCAGACTCCTATTTAGGGTTTTCATACACTCATGCCAGGTCTTAGCTTGACCACCCTTAACTTTCTTCCATTCACTACTTGCCTCGGCGAACATCGCACGCCGTGGCAACCTACCTGGTGACATGCGTAACACATGCCCCGACCAACGAAATCTACGGAGGTCGACCCTCCAGTGGGCAACCGCACTCACCTAAAACTCTTCGCCTAACCTCAGCATTGCTCGTCCGGTTGCCCCACCAGACTTGTGCAATGTTGCGTAGACAGCGGCGTTCGAACACCGACAGTATATCTTTATCCTGTTTCCTTAATGGCCAGGTTTCTGTGCCGTATAGCAGAACTGGCCGAACTGTCGCAGCATACACTCCACCCTTAACAGAGCCGGATGTCGCGACGGCGCCACAGATGTTGGCAAATGCCAATCGAGCCTTCTGTATGCGAGCTGACACATCCGTGATGCGTCCACCGGGTGAGATGTAGCTGCCCAAGTAACAAAACTTATCTATTTGCTCTATTACTTCCCCAGTTAGGGTGGGTGCAGGGCTAAACGAGTTAGTATTATCGAAAGTCATAGATCATGATCTCGGAAAAAGCCATAACGTCACAATTCTCTCATCTCATAATCAAAATTTTCCCATTAGTCAGGTAATAATTAGTAAAGGTAACCACAGCAACCTCAAGTTTACCATGATAGTGGAATAAAGAAAACACCCAAAATATGTTCGATTTAGCAGCTTCCCTTTCGATCAGCTCAACACGGCAGAATAAGGCCTTATGCTCTCCACTGGATATCCCAATGCATGGTTTGTACTTATTGCTGAACTATAGATCCTTGCGATTACAGGTTTTGTTTGTTCCGCTGCCTGTATGTGATGGAAAATCACATTAATAAGCTACTTATGCCTTGAAAATCCGACTCGGTTGCTAAGGGATGGGAACCACCTAGATAACAGTGTTGCCCTTTCTCGTTATCAAAATGCCCTCCTGTGATGCGATTTCATCGACAATGAAATTGGGCCAGAAATATTATTCGTACCGCATGTCTGGTTCCAAAAACATATGTCAGTGATCACGTGTTTCTATCCACCGATTGATTCGAAACGGGCTTGCTGCTGTCTCATAAAGTAACACGTAAGGTTCCTCCCGAACGCGGCTTGAAGTTTATTATCATTCGTCTCTGTCAAGTCAAAATTATTCAACTACTCTAATTAACAGATGTTCACGCCAACCGGTGATTAGTAGGATACTTGAAAAAACAAAAAGAGCATGCGGAAAATTTTTTATATGGAAATCCTTGAATAGAAAATGTAAAACCACGGTCTCTTAATCCTTAGAAAAATATTCAGGGGATGTTCAAAGGTCTGCAGACTTCGGATAACGTGCTACACGCATTGACTGTTGCATTAATCAGTAGCACGAATGAATGTATGAGAAGATTCTATTATAGAGCCTAAAGTACCAAACACGGTAGTACTGAAAATGCATTACCGACATATTCCCCCTCGATCAAATGTGGAACTGAGTTATGAGGATTACCTATTCAAAACGGTGTAAACCCTGATCATAGAGAGATTCAACACACACTTCAGTGAGTAGTTTTGGTAATAGAGAATTCAAAATATAACTTGTGATCAAACGCTTATTACTGTTACCAGGATATCCAATCTGAAGTGTTTTGCACACATGGCAGTCGTGGAGAAGTGAGACAAGAAGGTCCACACAGCAGTGTCATGTAACTGTTGTTCAATAGACAAAGCGACGTTCACTTGATGAACTTCTAAGCGCGCAACAAAATTCCCGAACCAGTTCGGATGTAACTAAGCAGTGCGTTCATTGCAGTAGACCCACATGTAGCCAGCCATATGCCAGTGAGCAAGCTGGAACGAGCAAAACCTAGGAATGCAAGCAACCAGGGCAACAGTTGGCCCAAGTGTCAGATGACATATGAATGCGGTCAATGTCAAAGTTTTATTATGGGTGATTTAACAAAGCTAAAGCTTATCGTGCCCCATAGGATTTTCACAGAATATTTTAAACAACTTCACAAAGAGAAAATAATAATAATAACAATTTGCATGATCACTCAAGGATGTCGAAATTTTAAGTGTTCCAATGCTTTATCAAATTGCAATTTAAATAGTTCAACTGGAGGAGCACATTCTACATCAGACGGAAGAGAATTCCATACACCGCACACTCTAACTGCAAACAAGTGATGTCGGCAATCAAGGTGGTTGTTCCAAGTCTTCGGCTTTATTGGATGTCCCCTGAGGTGATCATTATGGGATAAAGTCAGCATAAAACGGTGGTTGGGTTAATGCAATTTATGNCCCCCCCCCCCCCCCCCCCCGAAGTCGGGGGTATCGAGATGAGTAGAGTCTCAATAATTACAGTCTTTCGGAGTGTCTTTTTATACAGACCGTTTTAGCTATTTCGTTGCCAGCCTTTGCGGACTTTCTAGAGCCTCCTTGTCGCGGTTTAACCGTGGATTCCTTAATTGAACGGCGTATTCCGTTTGTGGTCGAACGAACGCTGATAGCAGGTGTGGGAACAGCCTAATACTAACACCTGATTGGCTGGAGCTGTTCGATATTGTGAGAGAGTCAGTCCGCAAGACGNNNNAAGACGTGAATGCTTGCAGACGGCATCTGCCAATCAACAGATCCGACCACAGGCAGGCTTCAGAACAGAACCCAACGACTGCAAACTAGGTGAGAAATAGAAATTGACCAGCTTATCAAAGCCAACCCAACGATTACAAGATGATGAACCAGATTAATATCAAGTGCTGCCATATAACAAAACTCGAAGGACTATTGAGAAAGAACATGTCATTCACCCAACCTGTAGCCTGGTCGTGTAGACATAATCCATCCACGGTTATTTGACTCATACTGCAAGAATAGATTTGTAACGTGCTCTACCTGTTGAAGGCCTTTCACGGAAATTGGCTATGTTTCGTACCAAGAAAATCAGCCGACTGAAACCGAACACAATTTGCGAAGCCATTTGAAGTAATGAATTAATTAAACGAGACATACAATATTGTTTGTGCATTTTGTAATCCAGCATTCCGAAAGGTAACCAAAGAGAAACATACAACCAAAAACTTTCAACGCGTAAAACGCACTTTACAATTGCACACAAAACCCCCACTGATGCATCATAAAATACCTAGCTCCCATTGAGTTTTCATCATAAAAACCAGAGGCACGAAAAAAATCGAATGACCTTACCCCACCCCAGTGCTTTTTGATCATACTTACCGATAAGTCATTGCCTCGATCAGCACTGGACGATTTTCCGTCACACTCAATTTTCGAGCAGCCTTAGTAGCATTGTACACAGCGAACAGATCGTTTCCATCTACTCGAATTCCGGTCATGCCAAGAGCCGGTGCACGAGCAACTGATGAGAGACGAATCGGGAGGGGCGTACAATGCACCCAATCAGATGTGGAGATGCTGTGATTAATCCAGGATGATTGATAAAAACAATGACCGACGAAGCCATTCTATTCCAAAATAGATCAGAAACAACGCGAACCGACTCCTTGTTCTATCGAGTCGGAAACATTAGTCCCCCGGACACAGCAAGAGAGAAAGAATTCCTGACCCGAAAGATTCACTGATATCCATATCAAACAATCTCAAAAAGTTAACCCACCCCAAACTGTTTTCTCGAAAGCCGTCTATATCAAACCATCTTCTGACCGATATGCGCCAAAAGTTAAAGCTAGCTCTGAAGTGCATATTCCCAGCTGTTTGGACAGGGTTTGGACAAACGCCTACATAGTTGGCGATCCAGTTCTGTCTCACACCGTGTACCAGTTCACCTGCAGTTGCGGCGACGCGTACATACCAACCGTCAGTTATCACAACGTATGGTCGAACACGTTCCAAAGTGATTGGTGAGGTTGATAACGCAATCCACACTCAGTAATCAGGCGGTCACACGTAACCCGGGGGTCATAAATTGCAAAACGCACCATGACAACCAAAAACAACTGATCCCACTTCCTCTTTCAAACACTCATTACGTAACTGCAAAGTAAAAATGTTGACACCTAGTAGTAGGTTGCCAATCAGATCAAATCAATAAAAAACAATTATCCCACACCACTACTCACAAGTGAGTCAAATTTGAAACAATCAGATTACATCATCCTGTTTTGTGCGCCTATAAGAAGTTGACGCCATCAGTTCATTTGCAATCGAGTTGATCTCTTATTTCCAATTCTAATAACCTCTATCTGCATATGTCCGTTCACTAGGATTTATAAATCAATGTACTATAAGTGTGCTTGTTTGTTTTACGTCTCCAACTGAGAAGATTCAACGAATGTATGTCTTCTTTCGGTCTTAGTGTATTTCAAAATGGCTGAATCGGTCTACGCAATGCCGGTACCATTCATTCACGGGGCCTTTAGTCCAGACAACACTGCCGCTATCTTCCTTACGGTGTTGTGTCCGTCACGTGGCTTTCCATCGGTCGGGCAAACGAACGTGCGTATGTCTGGGACGCACGTTCACCCGCACGTGCAACAAACGGCCGGTTTCTGGTCTACGGTCCGACAAAGGCAGCCCAGTCGGCACGTTAGTCACGTACGTGTGCAGCTGGTAAGTAGACAATGGGTTAGACAAAAAAGGACAACAAATGAACAAATCTGCTACAGCTGCATTGGCTAATGTGACTGTTGCACCTTAAATTCAACTTAAAATAAGAAAACGACTTTTTATCGATATCCATACCCGATACTCAAGTTCGAAACATCACATAGGTCTACTGTTACTAGATCAACCGTCGCCGTTCCTCACATTTCATCGATTACTGAAAGCCATATTGTTACTCAACTATAACTCATTCTCACCACAGACAATGCACCCCTGTGTGTGGACCACAGCGACAGACAACTAACAACTAAACCACCATTGTTCCATACGCATTCAAAAGGATCTCCAGGAGGATTCCTTCGTCAGGTCAAAGCTAACTAACAACTAACAACCTGAGTTCAAGCCAAATATCCTAGAACACATCAGTCGTTGGATTAGATGAACCATATTGCCATCAGCTTCCAACCAGCGAAATCTTATAGTGTTACCTATCATGTGAGCGATTAATCACCGTCTCTGTGACTGTAGTCAACCTGGTGCATGAGCGCTTTCCTGTCTAGAAAAGGGGACAAAATTCAGATCGATACGCGAAACAGACAACGGTCTATGTGGCGGTAGGTTGATCACGTGAACCTACACATGCCTGAATAAGTCTTGCCATTTGAAGGTGGGGCTAACTGTCCAGGTCATTTTCTGCAACGAAATACACAGTCTTAGATCAATTGGAGCCGATTTTGGGTCTGCATTGCGTATGGAGACAGTGGAAACAAACAGCTTAATGTAAGTTATTTGATATGATGACAGGAAGCATTATTTAACAGCTCATATATGATTTTTACACAAACGGCGCCAAAAGTAACCACAGGTTAAACAGAATAACAGATGGAGTTGTCCGTGTAATTATCAGCTTGGAAAGTATAAAAAAAAATCCGGATATCTTGTACGTAAATTTACGCGGAACCGAGAGTGAATCAAAGGCTCACATTAGATTACGGTTTTCACACCGACCTGATGTCTTGCGGGTTAAACTTTGGGTAACTGAAGGCCCCGGTAGTGAATTCATCTGCTATGGCCAGGGAAACCTAGCAGTGTCCGAACTACTAGCAAACAAGGAACTTTTTTCATTGGTGTAACGACTTTTGCACTGTGATTTGTGACGTGCAAATCTGAGACTCAGACCGGCGTGAAATATAATTGATATAATGATGAAAACAATAAACACAGTTCGCTGTCACCAGCCCTAGGGTACGAGGTTATTCAACTATGGTGGTAGGCGGCTTTGCTGTCGGCCGGTTCAAAATCACAATAGCGGAGTCTTACGCGAGTCACCACTGGGAGCTTAGGTTGTCGGTTTCCACACCTGAACAGCAGGTCCTTGAGACTACGGGGTTTAATCCGACCGCTATTAGTCACAAAGTTGTGTAACAAAAAAATCAAGCTGGCGATCACACGTGTTGATCTTGTGTGGTTTCGTTAAAGGAGAGTAAATTTTCACATACAATACCTGAGCGTTCGTCGTAGCATCACTTGGCTCCGTACTGCAGTTGATCAAATAACGAAATTTTGTTACATTTGACCTAAATCCGTTAAAACCCTAATGAGGAATGCAATGCAGCCAGAAGAGCCCAAAGTAAA